TCTATCTATCTATCTATCTATCTATCTATCTATCTATCTATCTATCTATCTATCTATCTATCTATCTATCTATCTATCTATCTATCTATCTATATCCTAAATGTAATCACAAAAGGATGATAGTGTCCTTTTTTTGACTGTTCTGTTTACACAAACAGTGGAGCTCACAGAGGGTCAGATGGATCCAAGCTGAAATGTTTAGGCACATGTTTGGTCTGCAGCCAAGTGAACCACAGCAGTCCAAACATTGTTTAGGAAGTTTTAGATCCAATGGTTTGAATAAAACTATATCCGCTGCCATTTTATATGGTTTTCAAGCCAAACCTGGAATTGGTCAGTCAGTTGTTTTAAGAAAAATAAAGAGTGGAAAAGAAAAGAAACATTCTTCAAGGTTAGCATGGCCTGATTGCTTGAAGGTTTTATTTTTTGTTATGCATTCCTATCTTTTCTCTGAACTTTAAGTTTCAAGCTGGATGAATGAGCAGAAAATCCATTTAGATTCAGGTTTTCAAGGGAAGAAGTCAGAGCTGTGTTACCAAGCATATCTGCCATGATTTTAAGCATGGGGTTCAGTGTGAGCTCTAAATCCAAGTTTCTCAGTATTTTTCTGTACCTTTACTTGTTTCTTCAGATCATTTTAATTTCTCCTCCATGAGCTTACATGCCACATTTAAACTACCCTCTGAAAACCGATCCGTGCAGAGCTTTGTTCCTTACGACTGTTTACAAGCCACGCTAGCACGGTTCCTCGCCTCCTAGTGAGGATCTACGGTACTACAGCTCTGTAGATGTAAACAAGCAAATCAACATGGATATGACCGTAACATTCAGGAAGTATCCGGAGAGAATGGCGAAGAAGGCAGCATTTGGTGAATTTACTTGACCGACTCAGCTTTTAGGAAGGGGACACGACAAATAATAGTCTGATCAGGGCTTACAGACACAGGAAGCAACAACGGATGTTGAGGCCCATCACTCTGCTAAGCAGAATCATCACTGGAAATTGTGTGGCACGGTAGGGAGGCTAGGATTTTTATGAATGTCTGAAATTTCCTGATTATGGAGGCTTACTGTAAGAAAATGGCGCGGTCTGCTCATGCGCTCTTTGTTATAAGAGAACCAAACCAGAACTGAATCTGCCGAGCCCTACTGACGATCGATAGTTCAACAGTAGGGCTCATGATAGAGTGGTTCGATTGGGTTTGGCACGGTCTGGCTCAATTGTGTGTGCTACTTACATTCAACAGTTATATCCATTGCCATGCTCAGAACGATCTCGGCATGGTTTCAAAAGCGTAGTATAAATGGGACTTTAGAGGTGTCTGATGAAGTACGGGTCAGTAGGCTGGAACAACTGGATCTTGTCGGGACTTAGAACGTTGGACCCAGAATTCAGGCAGACAGACTGAAGTGATTTATAAAAAATGCTTATCAAGTGTTCTGAAATCTGCATCCCATCAGCAAAGACTAGATGGCTGGCATCTCTTTAGGGGGAGAAACACAGGTTAGTGACCCAAAAACTCTTATGGATGATGATAACGAGCATGTGAGTCACTAACCTGGTTTTTAAATTCAGTACGAGCCCAGAGAAAGGAGTGGAATCCAGTCTGATGATGTTCCACAGCATGCGGCAGGAGCCACCCTGAGAGTTCCAGGCGTTGAAACCAAAGGTGCTGCAGAACAGAAGCAGTAGCCAGGAGATGAGGAAGAACATAAGAATCGGGATGAAGAATCCAAAGCTGATGTCAATGGGTCCTGGCCATAAGATCAGAGATCAGGAGAGGTACCAAAGGGGAATCCAAGCCAGGGTCAGGAGAAAGGTCCAAGGCTGTTATTATGCAGAATCTAATGGAAGTCTGAAGACAGGTCAGGCAAACAGATCAGAACAGGGGCAGGTAAAAGCAGTTAAGGAGCAGAAACTAGTCAGGATCATGCAATCAGAATAAATACACAGGGTACACTAGAGAACTCTCACACATGGCTCGAATAATCTGGCACTGGTGGCTGGGACCAAGCAGTTTAAATAGCAGCTGGAAAAGGTGGATCTGATGAATGGTGGTGAAAACTTGGTGGAGCTAGGCAAGGGGATGAAATAAACTAATAATTCAGTCATCAGTACCAAGATCATGACACTTCCAAATTTATCTTTTAGTTTAATTTTCTAACAAAAGTCTTATTGTAGACTGCTGTGGCATTTAATGAAGTTAGTCACGCTGTAAAACATTTTTGTCAAAGGGGATTATTTTGGCAATGTTCTCTTTGCAGTTGGTGAAGACAGCTGACCTGGACCCCAGACACAATTACATCCTGGGCTTCCACCCTCACGGAGTGCTGGTAGCAGGAGCCTTCACCAACTTTTGCACCTACGCCACCGGCTTCCCGCAGCTTTTCCCAGGCATTACCAGCTACATGCTCATGCTGCCTTTGTGGTTCAGAGCCCCGTTCTTCAGAGACTACATTATGTGTGCTGGTGAGGGCCTGTAAAGTTTATATCTGATCAGAGTTTTCCTCCAACTACCTCATCATGTCCCACTGATAGTTATTTTAGCAGAGATCAGCATGATGGTACTTTATCAGACTTGAGAAATAGTTGTTTTCCCTGTTCTAAACTTGCAGGTCTGATTCCATCGGACAAAGAGAGTGCTACTTATCCGCTCCGCATGAGGCGAGGTGGCAGTGCTGTTGTGATAGCTGTTGGCGGAGCCCCAGAGGCCCTTGATGCTCATCCTGGTACCTTCAATGTGCTCTTGGCAAATAAGAAAGGCTTCATCAAAATGGCGATTGAGAATGGGTGAGTGCAAAAAGCCCCGAGGTTTAAAAAAGAGAAAGTTTCCTGTGGCAGCTACAGTAATCCCATTATTTGAAAACAGAGGCTCACTTAAGATACTAGCATGGAACTTCCTGGAAAAGCTCTACTGAGATCCAATCAGAATAACATGCTATGTAAAACACAAGAGTTTCATTTCATTTTAAATGTTGTTAAACCAAGACGAATGTAATCACAATGTTTCAGAGCTCACCTGGTGCCAGTTTTCTCCTTTGGTGAGAATGAAGTGTTTGACCAAGTGGAAAACCCCAGAGGGACCTGGCTTCGGTGGGTACAGGAAAAGCTGCAAAGCATCATGGGTATATCCCTGCCTCTGTTCCACGCTCGTGGCATTTTCCAGTACTCCTTTGGCCTGATGCCCTACAGACGACCTATCCATACAGTCGGTGAGTGAGGAGGGTTGGTCTCTTGCTACTACAGGCTCCGCTCTACCACATATAGTGAAAATATTTATTATTTATACCCTTTAAACCTATTCCCAAGTTTCTCTCAGTTACAACAACAAAACTTATTGGAAATCATTCAAATTAACAAAACAACACAAATAGGAAAGTAACAGATTTTTAAAAGTCTTCTAAAAAATTCAAATAAAGTCGGAAATCTAAAATATTACAATAACCCAACCTTGCTTTAAACTCCCTCAGACCTATCCTTTAATGTTCTCGAACTGAATTGAACAAACCTCTGAGGCTAGAAACAGAACTGATTCATTTATTCTGAGATTTAACTGCTCTTAAAGGTGCATGGCCAGGTTCTATGCCTGTACAAATAACAAATATAATATTTTGATCCTGATGAAATGAGGTCTTATACACTAAACAGTCTTCCTATTATGCTTAAATTGTTTTTGAGCATAAATGGAATTCCAGCACCGGGCCAATGATCAGAAACAATGCTTTTCAAGTCTTATTAATCTTGAAATCAAATTTAAAAAAAAGTGTTTCTGAAAAGCTTTACCAACTATAGCTTTAAGCTTTAATTAGTGGTTGACTTCTAAAGGGAGCTGGATTTTTTTGAAGGTGGATATCATCGTAGAACGGTACATAAATACAAAGTAAAGCCAGAAATTTAAGATTTGTTTTTCTTGTAAAAAAAAAAATAAGAAAACATCTCCCATCTATTGCTAAATAATTTGCGTTGATCTATCACACCAAATGCTCAGGAATCCCTTTTCTTTAATGTAAATTAAGAAAAAAGATTAGGGTAATGAACACTTTTGCAAGTTTCTGTGTTCCACATATTCACAGATGGGTCTTCAGAAAGAGCCCAACATACTGTAGGCCTGTGATGCTAGATGGCAAGCAGCCCTCATGCACGACACGTGCTTTAGATAAGCTGACCTCCCACAGCATCATGCAACACTGCAAACCGTGAAGCTGATACAGACCTGGCACTTAGCAGGCTGCCCTGCACCTTGTCATCTCTCTGCAGTGGGCCGGCCCATTAAGGTGGAGAAGAAGCGGAAGCCGACTGCCGAGGAACTCGATGCCCTCCACCAGCTGTATATGGATGAGCTCAGCAATTTGTTTGATGAGCACAAAGGCAAATATGGGATCGACAAGGATGTCCATCTAAATTTTGTCTGACCTTGGCCCTTCGAACGAAGGGAACTAAATGTCTTCAGTATTTATTTGTTAAGCTCCGATGCTGCAGGTTCATTTAGTTTTAACGTTTAATCTAAGTTAGTTCATTTGATTCTTATGGAACCATATGTTCGATATAGCTACAGTGTAAAAAAAAAAAAAAAAGGGCTGCATTTTCTTTAATTTGAGTAAAACCATACATGTGGTAGGAAAGTATTTCATTAGGTTAAATGAAAGGTTAATAGTTTATGGGACACCAGATTACTCACAGTTAAGTTTTTTCTAATATTTTACCAAATACAGTCTAAATAATTTTTTTTTTAATTTTTTTTATATAAAAATAGTTAATTTGTTTTAATTTGATCCAGATGTATGGAGTCATTAAAGTACCTTGAACCTGAATTTTGTTGTGACTTATTTCTTTTCTTCGGCCAGTGGCTCTGCATCTTTGTCTTTTTTCCTTCTGTATATCCTGCCTGCTGGCCCCACTGTGGATGCAGACCTTGTCTCAATACTTCAAAGCGTTCAGGACATCACAGCAGAGCGTCTGCTAACTGAATGGTGCTAAAAGTTAGGAAAAAACCAGGACCAGGATGCTGATGCTTCCTGACGACTGAATGCTTCCTGACGACTGAATGCTTCCTGATGCCCTAGCTGCAACAGCCTAGCCACCCCAAGAAGCTCGTCGTCTGCTCATTATCCTTAGCATGACTGAGCCCACAGACACAGCCCCACTCACTATGTAACAATGTCGGGGGCTGCTCATTGGGTCAGTGGATAGCACTGTGGCCGCGCAGCAAAAAGGTTTTGGGTTCAATTCCTGGCCTGCATTAAGTTTGCATGTTCTCTCTGTGCATGCGTGGGTTCTCTCTGGGTACTCCTGGTTCCTCCAACAGTCCAAAAACATGACTGTTAGGTTAATTGGCTTCTTTAAATTCTCTCTGTGTGTGTGTGTATGGTTCTTTGTCTCTGTGTTACCCTGTGATGAACTGGCGACCTACCGCCCATAGACAGCTGGAGATAGGCACCAACCCCGCCTCGTGACCCCAGCTGGGATAAAACATGATAGAAAATGGATGGATGGAAGATGAGTCAAAGATAATATAATCTCTTACATGTCACAACCAAAAGACCAAAAGAAATTGTATAATGACGTTTCAAGTAGATTACTCAGATTAAAAACTATTAAACTGAACTCAAACTGGATGAGACATATCCAGTTATATATTTTGCAACAATCTGAAGTATTGGGCTTGCTTCGGTGGCGCAGTGGTTAGCGCGCACCACCCATGTACAGAGGCCTTAGTCCTTGATACGGCTGATCTGGGTTCGAAAATTAGGTCCTTACCCAAATTTCTCTCCCCCACTCTCGTTCCCCTCTTTCCTGTCAGCTCACTGTACAAAAAACAGCCACTAGCTCTGTAAAAACCTAAAAAAAACAATCGGAGGTTTTGGCTTATGCTCCTCCTGATCTCATGTCACTTCGTGTTTGAGACCTAGAGGAGACACGATTGGCTCATCACTTGATTTCTCCAGCAATCCCCGAAGAGGCCTCCCTATTTAAATTTCAAGTTCCTGAGAGAAGAGTTTGCTGTCCTTTTGTTGATTCATGACATGGATGTTTCGCTCCTTCTTCTCCTCTTCACAGTTTAACCCCATAATTCAGAAAAATACTAGTTTCTTTTTGCAATGCAATATGTTTCCGTATTTGATAGCTTTGAATTTTGTGTTTTTTGTTGTTTTGTTTTGTAGACTTTAAAAGAGCTACTGGAGTTTATTTGAGTTTTTGTTTGTACGCGTTTGGTTTGTTTGGCTTTGGTTGGTATTTGGTCAAATTTATTTTTTTTCTAAGGGATTTAAGTTATAGCTCTGATTTCAAGATGTAAATTAGTTTTAGTGGATTTTTGTTTTGCGAAATCATCATTTCGCAAAACATCAGTCTGCAGGTGGGGAAACTAAACTAACTGCAAAGGTTTGTATCACATCCATTTAGGAGGTCTCTGAATTAAACCATTTGCAAAAGGATAAAGAAACCAATGAGATGATAAAATAGATAAAACTTTTTTTATATAGGAATGAGCAAGTTCAGATGAACAAAGTGAAACTGCATGATTAAGATTACTTAAAGAATTGCGGAGCTGTAGTTTTCTGAAATCTGTGATCAGAGTTTGAATCCCAAAATTTACAAATCACTCCAACATATAGCTGCATGAAAAATGCATGATTTAATTCAATCAAATCAAGTATCACCTAGAAAGCATGAGTTGTTTTTTTTTTTTTTTTTTGGAGTCACAGATCATTTTCAAAATTAGCAGAAACTGAGCAAAAAAATGAAAGAGAGAGTGAAGTAAGAGCACTATTTCCTCAGATCTGTGTGTCAACAGACTGTGGTTGGGTCTGGGACTTTGTGCAAGAACTGTTACTTTTTAAAACAGTCTTAATAAAAAATATGCTGCAACAATATATGAGAAAACATCCAAAAGCAGCAATAACCTCTGATTATGCAAATCTTATAGTTAATGTGTGTCTTTCATCTTTTAAAAAATAATTTTCCTTCACATGCTCTGAACACAATTGGGTACTTTTTTAGGATTTTTACAGTTTGTATATGATCTGCATATTACTTCTAATAAAATAAAAATTGGAGAACATGTACCATCATTGCCTACTTAGTATTATGTGCTAAAGTTAAAAGTTTTGTAAAAAGATTATTGTTTGTTTTTCTAATAATTGTCTAATGATTCTTATATGTTTATTGTAAGAATAACCCTCTTTTTCATGATAAGTTGTGATTTCTTTTGCATAGATATATCTTTAACCATGGGCAGTCTAAGGCACACCTGTGCACTAATGGTGGTGTCTAATCATAATTTTGGCCAGGTGGGATGGATTATCACAGCAAAGGAGAAGTGCTCACAATCACTGAGTTAGATTGGTTTGTGAACAATATTTGAGTGAAACGGTTATATTGTGTATGTGAAAAAAGTTTTAGATCTATAAATTCATCTTACAAAAATGGGAGCAAAAACCAAAAGTGTTGCCATGCAAAAAAAACTTTTGCATTGGTTTTGGGGGGCAGCTTGATGCGCAGATAATGAAAGTGTTGGGATCTGGAGAAGTTCCACCTTTCTCCAGCAGAGTTCGCCGTGGATCCTCCTGAGCTGAGCCTTCCACACACCTGTGGCGCATCTCATCATCAGAGGATCCTCCAGTATATAACCGGCCTTCAGACCTTGCCTCAACGCCGCAGTGTTTATCCAGTTTGGTTAGCACCTGAGCCTAGCTTCTTCTGAGAACCTTTGTTGCTCCTGATTCCTGNCAGAGACCTCCAGAAAACCTCCAAGAACTCCCTGAATCACAGATGACTCAATTTAAACTGTCTGCTGACAGTTTCACAATAAGATTTGTGCGCTTTAACCAAATCGTTGAAAAGCCCTTGAGATAACCTCTCACCTCTAACTCTCACTGTGACTGCTGCATCTGCAGAGCAGAGCTTTCAAGAGCATGAAATAATAATTCAAGAAACAATTTTAGATCTTACATGGCAGAAGGAGGACTGGGTAGGCTGGGAATAATTAGTTTTAATAATGTTGACCATCAGATTTTCTCACAGTGATGTCATAAATCAATGTGTAGTCAGAAAGAAAGCAGAGGTTTTACTCAACCAGTGGAGTAATGAGGAACAGAGTAATATGAGATAAAATCTGTTGGTAAAAGGAAGTTTATATTTTAAGCAACACTTTTGAATATATCTACACATACCTTGCTAAAAAAAAAAAGAGAACGCATAAACAACACAATATAACTTCAGTTAAATCAAACTTCTGTGAAATTAAACTGTCCACTTAGGAAGCAACACTGATTGATATTAAATTCAGTTAGCAAGACACCCAATAAAGGAGTGCTTCTGCATATGGGGACCACAGGCCACTTCCCAGTACCTTTGCATTCTGGGTGATATTTTGGTCACTTTTGAATGTTGGTGGTACTTTCACACTCGTGGTAGTATAAGAAAGACTCTACAACCCACACAAGTGGCTCAGGTAGTGCACCTCATCCAGGATGGCACATCAATATGAGCTGTGGAAAGAAGGTTTGCTGTGTCTGTCAGTGTAGTGTCCAGATATTCGAGGAGCTATCAGGAGACAGGCCAATACACCAGGAGATGTGGAGTAGGCCGTAGGAAGGCAACAACCCAGCAGCAGGGCCGCTGCCTCTGTCTTTGTGCAAGGAGGAACAGGAGGAGCACTGCCACTGTCCTGTGAAATGACCTCCATCAGGACACAAATGTGCATGTGTCTGCACAAATGGTTTGAAACTGACTCCATCAGGATGGTGTCAGGGCCCGACGACCACAGATGGGAGTTGTGCTCACAGTCCAATACCGTGCAGGACACTTGGCATTTGCTAGAGAACACCAGTATTAAGATATTTGCCACTGGCGCCCTGTGCTCTTCACAGATGAAATAAGGTTCACACGGAGCACGACAGAGACATGACAGAGCCTGGAGATACTGTGGAGTGTGATCTGCTGCCTGAAACATCCTTCAGCATGACTGGTTTGGTAGTGGATCAGTAATTCTGTGGGGTGACATTTCTTTGGAAGGCCGCACAGCCCTCCATGTGCTCGCCAGAGGTAGCATGACTACCATTAGATGCCGAGATGAGATCATCAGACCCCTGGGTTCCTCCTAATGCAGGACAATGCTAGGCCTCATTTGGCTGGAGTGTATCTGCAGTTCTTGCAAGATGAAAGCATTGAAGGTATGGACTGTACCGCCCGTTCCCAAGACCTGAATCTGATTTATGACATCTGGGACATTATATCTTGATAAGTGAGCTTCCATTTACATAATTTAAGTATGTGCTTTAAACTGTTTCTTTTATTGAATCATTTCTTTTTTCTTTTTTAAAATCAAACTAGTTTAATCAAAGTAGGTCATACTACCGTAGTAATATTGATTTAGTTGTTTTTGCACCACAGATTATTTTTAGGATTATTTTTATTTTATTTACTATCAATTCCTGTAGCAGTTTCTCTGAACCAAAATGTATAAACCTGATGAAACTTACTGTAAATGAAATTCCTGCTAGTTTATTTTCATAATTTCTCTCACTAGATGACACACAGATGTCTTATCAGAGATATGATTGTACCTTATATCCCTAACAGAGCAATTTGCTCTTAATCTGCAGGTTTATTAGTGGTTCCTAGAACTTCTAAAAATAGAATGGCAGGCAGATCTTTTAGTTATCAGGCTCCTCTCCTGTGGAACCAACTATCATGTTTAGCCCAT